TGCAAAAATAAAACTTTCTCATTTCATTCGAAATACAAGAAAATGTACTAATGGTCTCGTGTTTTGTATTTGACAGGATCTATACCTTCTCTATTGGTTCTGCCTCTTCTTTTCTTCATCCCCGAATCTCCTAGATGGCTAGTAAGCATTTGGTTATTATATATGTTTGCGTTTACGTTTATGTGTTCTATGTTAAATTATTGTTTTTACTTCCACAGTTTTTTCTTTTTTTGGATAGTACAGAACCAAATAAACCAAGATGAAATTTGTTTATAGGCTAAAGTAGGAAGGGAAAAGGAAGTTGAAGCAGTTTTGTTAAGCCTGCGAGGAGCAAAATCTGATGTATCAGATGAAACAGCAGAGATATTAGTAAGGATCTAATCCATATGATCATCAACATATATAAATCTTTTTTTTATTACCTAAATTCCCCAACAATTTGATGATGATCAGGAATATACAGAACATGTTAAACAACAACAAGATGTCGATAACCGTGGTTTCTTCAAGCTATTTCAGCGAAAATATGCGTTCTCACTTACTGTAAGTAACTCTTCAAAAGATAAAAAAAAACTTCAAAAGCTAGCATTATTGTTTTTTTGCATTTTCTTGATTTATTTATTTCAATAGATTGGAGTTGTTCTTATAGCTTTGCCTCAGCTTGGAGGTCTTAACGGTTATTCTTTTTACACCGACTCCATTTTCATCTCTACCGGTATATAATCCTTCTTGTTCTTGTTTTTCTTTATTTTACCTACCATAATGATATGATTACTTCATCAAATGGTCCTTAAATATTATCCGATGATCCAGGTGTATCGAGTGACTTTGGATTCATATCGACATCAGTTGTTCAGGTTATAGTTAAATCATAGAGCATGGTTACACAAAACTCGGTAGCTTTTCCGTATAATATTCAATACACTATTTTTACCAATCATTTAAAAACACATTCTTGTAGATGTTTGGAGGCATTTTAGGTACTGTGCTTGTTGATGTAACTGGAAGACGTACGCTCCTATTGGTAAAAGAAAATTTAAAACTCAGTATCCTATATCAATAGGTTAATTTGTTTAGTTTTCGAACCAAGTTTAGGAACTTTTTTTTGAGTGATTTGTAGGTTTCTCAAGCTGGAATGTTCTTGGGTTGTCTTGCTACAGCCATTTCTTTCTTCTTGAAGGCAAGCTTACTATTCCATGATTCCATCTACTCCACTAAACCGGAAATTAATTTTAGTTTTTTTCAAACCGGACCATAAAATTTCTGGTTGTTTCGTTATGCAGGAGAATCATTGCTGGGAAACAGGAACACCTGTCTTGGCTCTCATTAGTGTTATGGTTAGATTTTAATTTTTAAACTATTTAAATTTAAAATCTAGAATAATTTTCTGATTTGATATAGAAATTTAATAAGTTTTCATAATTTTCCGTAACAACAGTATTTTGCATGTTTATATTATATATTAGGTATATTTTGGATCATACGGATCTGGTATGGGATCAATACCATGGATCATAGCATCAGAGGTAAATATTCAAAATTTTAAAATAGGTGTAAAAATAGATCACAGACATCTGAAAAATGTTAAATTCATTATATAGTTAATGTTTTATTTTCCTTCCTAGATTTATCCAGTAGATGTGAAGGGAGCAGCAGGAACAATGTGTAACTTGGTCAGCTCTATAAGCTCATGGCTCGTTGCTTATTCATTCAGTTTCTTGCTTCAATGGAGCTCCACAGGTAAATCTTTAATAGTATTTTAGGTTAAGTAAATTACATGAATATAAGTTGACAAAAGATTGTATCATTTTACAAATTCTGAATTTTGAAATTCTAGTTGTCAAATAACTAAAAGGTTTTATTGCAGGAACATTTCTCATGTTTGCCACAGTGGCTGGCCTTGGATTTGTGTTCATAGCCAAGCTTGTTCCAGAGACCAAAGGCAAATCTCTAGAAGAGATTCAATCTCTTTTCACTGATTCTCCTCAAGATTCTACAATTTTCTAAAATTCCCCCAAAACTGTATAAGAAAGAAGTATGTAAACAAAAAAGTTTTATTACAATATGTAAACATTATTGTTTTTAGCAAGAGTTACAATATTAACAAACACCTTCCACAAGATTCACATGAAACTATCAAAACATTAGAAAATAATACAAAGTTTTACAGACTGAAACTAGTAAAATACTCAGAAGAAAAGCTTTATTGAGAAGCACAAAGACCACCTCTTTTTTTTTTACTGTTCTGTAATTGTGAGTTTTGTATTAACCCACTGATCCTTCAAGCTTGATGCTCATAAGCTGGTTAACTTCAGCTCCAAATTCATCAGGTAACTTGTTGAAGACATCTCTGCAGAATCCAGAGATCATTGCCGCTAATGCTCTCTCGTGATCTATTCCTCTCTGCTGGAAATAGAAAAGCTGGTCTTCTCCAATCTTTGAGGTACTCGCTTCGTGCTCTACTTTCGCCGATGGATTCTTTACCTGTTATTGTTTCAGACCCACCACAAAACAAAAGTTTACAGATTTAAGAACTTGAATCGATGTGTTGTATTTATGGGAAATCAATCAAGAAAGGGCAAAACAAATTACAGCATAATCATAGCTTATAATAAAGATTGGATCATAGGCAATTTACCTGGATGTAAGGATAGGTATTAGCAGCTGCTTTGTCCCCGATAAGCATTGAGTCGCAAGTCGAAGTATTTTTAGCATTCTCAGCTTTGGATTGAACCTGAACAAGACCGCGGTAACAATTTCTCGAATGCCCGGCCGAAATTCCCTTTGAAATGATTCTGCTTTTTGTATTCTTTCCTTTGTGAATCATCTTGGTCCCTGTATCTGCTTGCTGATAGTTATTAGTCAAAGCAACCGAGTAAAACTCGCCAACAGAATCATCGCCTTCTAAAACCACGCTCGGATACTTCCAAGTTATTGCAGATCCCGTCTCAACCTGAGTCCATGAGATCTTGGAGCGATCCCCGGCACAAAGACCACGCTTGGTGACAAAATTGTAAATCCCGCCTTTACCTTGTTCATCCCCTGCATACCAATTCTGCACCGTAGAGTACTTGATCTCAGCTCCTTTCCCGCAGTAGAGCTCAACCACAGCAGCATGAAGCTGATTCGTGTCATAAGAAGGAGCAGTACACCCTTCTAAATACTCAACAAAACTCCCTTCCTCTGCAACAATCAAAGTCCTCTCGAACTGACCAGTCTCCATCGCGTTAATCCGGAAATAAGTCGAAATAGGCATCGGGCATCTAGTGTTCTTCGGTATATAACAGAAAGACCCATCGCTAAAAACCGCAGAATTCAAAGCCGCATAGTAATTATCATCACTAGGCACAACTCTTCCTAAATACTTCTTAATCAAATCCGGATACTCCCTAATAGCTTCCGATATCGAACAGAAGATCACACCGGACTTCTCTAGAGTCTTCCTATGAGTAGTTGCAATCGAAACACTATCGAGAACCGCATCAACAGCAACATTAGCCAAACGTTTCTGCTCTGTTAAAGGAACACCTAACTTATCGAAATACTCAAGAAGCTGAGGATCAGCTTCATCTAAACTATTCAAAGTTGGTTTCTTTTTAGGAGCAGAGTAATAACACATATCCTGGAAATTAATCGAAGGATATCTATTATCTGACCATTTAGGTTCTTCTAACTTCAAAAACTTAGCATAAGCTTTGAACCTAAACTCAAGCATCCAATCTGGTTCTTCTTTCAGTTTCGAAATCAAACGAATCGTTTCTTCAGATAAACCTTTAGGGATTGTGAAGGAATCGATATCTTCAACGAATCCGTATTTCTTATCGTAATCAAGATTCTGGAAATACTGTTGAAGTTTATCAGTGGAACTAACAGTTGATGTACCTGATGATTCAGCTCCGATGGGACGAGAATCGATTCCAACAACATCGGCGGCTCTGACTTTGAAAATGGGTCTCGTTGGATTTAGGGATTTGGGAGATGGAAATTTCAAGGATTCGGGTTTTGGGTGAAACCCTTTTGGGGATTTTGAGGAATCGGAAGAGGGTTGTGGAGAGAAGCTGGAGATACCGTTTGCGAGAAGAGACGCCATTGTTGTTGTGGGCCTTGTGGCTCTAAGGAGAAGTAGAAGGAGATTGTTTTTATTTTGGAGTCGTGTGTTGAAAAAGAACAAGTATAGGGAGAAAAAGAGAGATGAAATGTTAATATTTATTGTTTTAAATGATTAATTTTCTTGGCCGTAGATTGACGATAGTCTCGTGTCCACCACGGGACTTTTTTTTTACTTGGATTGGATCATCAGCTCAATTATAAGCCACATTCGTTTTCCACTATCTAATTTTATTTAACTTTATTAAAGAAAAAAGTCGCTATATTTTTTGGGAAATTGTTAAAAATACCCTTTTTGGTGTGCCCCTTTTCAAAAATGCCCCTTTTAGATGTACATTTTCAAAAAAGCCCCTTTTTAAATCTGAAATTTTTATAAAGTTTTATTAGGTTTATAAGTTACTTATGGATTGTAACTACTACTTGAAGACTCGATCCAAGTATTTATAAGGTTTTATAAGGTGTTTTTAAAGGTTTTACAAGTTATTTTAAAGGATTTTTAAGGTTTTTCAAAGGTTTTACAAGATATTTTAAAGGTATTTAAAATGCATTTATAAGGTATTTATAAAGTATTTATAAGATTTTAGATACATAGAAATGTAGTTTGTGTATGTTTTAATAATATTACATACATATTTGGGTAAATCTTATATTTTTAAGAGCATTTTTTATAAGGTTTTTAAAAAGGGGTATTTTTGAAAAGTGGCATTGAAAAAGTGGCATTTTTGCAAAAGCCCCATCTTTTTTTGTCTATAATAGCTCAATTACTTGGTTTGATTTCAGTGCGTTATTGGGTTTTTTAAGTTTTGTTGATTTTATAAAACAATTTGTTAATTTAATTTAATTCTAGACCGTTTGATCTTGGTTTCTTTTATCGGAATAAAATACCTACAATAGGATGCGATTATATAAGCACTAATGCACCAGATCTCATCAGAACTCCGCAGTTAAGCGTATTTGGACGAAAGTAGTATTAAAGATGGATGACCTTCCAGACAGTTCTCTTGTTGCATCTTTTTAAAAAAAAAACTACAATCAATATAAAAGGCCTAAGTTAAAAGCCCATTTTAAAATGCCTTGGCCCAAATCCAGAACGCAAAACGGAGAATTAGTAAAAAACGCTCAAAAGTCACGGCGATTCTCTGTCATCGCCCAACACTTTCCTTTACTTCGCCGGAGAAATCCTGTCGTCGGGTAATTCTCTTCCTTATAGCGTAGGTGTCTTCGGTGATTCGAATTTGACCTCATTTATTTTTGAAAAATTGATATAGGGCAAGTTTTTCCCCGGAGAAATCGTCTTTGTTATCCTCGCTTCCTCTCTTAAATTGATTAACGAGCTCTACAGTGATAACTGATTTAGCTGAAATTCAACTGTTTTAAAGTTAGGATCTTGACGGGTTTTTTGTTGTTGTTGTTGTAGCTGTGATTGATATTTCAAGGTTTTGGAAGATGGATATAATCTCACAGTTGCAAGAGCAAGTGAATACGATTGCTGCAATCACTTTCAATGCTTTTGGGACACTCCAAAGGGATGCACCACCAGTCCAGCTTTCACCTAATTATCCTGAACCACCCGCTACAACTACGGCTGTTGATGAGGCAACGCCTTTTCCTGAGCAACCTAAGCAGCTCAGTGCCGGTTTAGTTAAGGCTGCTAAACAGTTTGATGCTTTGGTTGCTGCACTTCCTTTGTCAGAAGGTGGTGAAGAAGCTCAGCTCACAAGAATCGCTCAACTCCAGGTAAAACAAGATTCATTTTTCGATTTCTTGAAGCCGATACTTTTATTCATCCCTGTTTTTTCTTCAGGTGGAAAATGATCTTGTTGGTCAGGAACTCCAAAAGCAACTAGAGGCTGCAGGTAAAATCTCCTTCACTGCTCGTGTGTCTATCTGTAACTGGAGCAGATCCATTATGCTCTTCAAATTTCAATGTGTATACTTTCTTGTTGCTATACGCACTATGGTTAGATGTTATCTTTAGTGGTTGTAGAATTTGGATTTTTCGTTTTCCCTTGCAACTGCCTCTGAAAATTAAGCTGATGTGAAGTGGTGTCACCTTGTTTGTGACAGAGAAGGAGCTAAAGCAAGTCCAAGAGCTATTTGGACAAGCTGCAGACAGTTGCCTGAACATGAAGAAACCTGAATGAAATGCTTTTTTTACCTTGTGTCAAGCTGATTAAGAAAGTATATGATTTGGTTCAGAAACAATTATCTTTTAGGTTTAGAAGGAATATCAATTCTGATTTGGTTCACCAAAAAATTGTTGCAGAAGCAATTACAAGAATCTTAGTTAGCTCACAACAACAAAACCATTATTTTAACCTTACACTTCTTTCTATCTGTCTAATTTAGTAATTACAATCTCATAGAATCCACCTTATCATTCTAAACATTACAGGGCCGTCATGATTGACCCACCATGTCTGGTCTTCCGGTCAGGGCTGGTCAGATTAATATGGTCTCGGGTATCTGTCACATTCAATCCAAGTTGCTGAAAAGAAATGACCAGTTCATAACTTGGGTCCAAAACCGGAACTTGACTTGACTTGGGAAACATGCAAATCTTAGTAGTCCGACCAGTCCTGTGCAACAGTAGAGACAAGGTTTAATCATTCCTCAGCTGGTTAGTCCTAACTCCTCATCCTTTCCCTCTCACCTATCAAGACTTAAGCAGAGTCCAGCATTCTTTTGTCTGCGTGTATGAAGCTTTAGGATGAAAAGAAAACTTTAGCCGGTCAAGTAAGAATGGAATCCGAGTTCTGTACAAAATCACTACTTTCTTGATGAAACAATCGTTTTCTTTTTCGGTTTCTTCTTGTTGGGTGCTTGAGAAAATGCAGACTGACTTTCTTCGATGATATGTTGTACATCTGTATCATCTTTTGGAATTTTTGATACCAATGCCTTGGCACCTTCCAAATCCCCTGCAGCTAGTAGAACCTGATACATCCTGCCAAACCATAAACCAGAACCAATGATATACTGGAAACCTTGAAATCTCTTGATCTCTTGGAAACTGATGATCTAATTATCAGAATAAACTGCATTCTCTCGAAACTGATTCAACCCGTAAACCGAAACGCTAGTCATAAACTTGGAACTCTCTTTGTGCCAATGATAGTACAAGATTTATCTTGTATTCTTTCATTTCAATACATATCTTCTCTTTTTGTTCCTTAAGTCTATAGTTCTTGAGCAAAGAAACCAATTACTAATCCATAAGGAGAAAAGAGTGGCGTACCTCAGAAAGCTTAGGACGTTGCAAGGGAGTGCTGCAGATTGGTACTCTTTCCACACCAATAGACCGTGCTCCTGGTCCTTGGCATTAACACATGCATGTAAGAGAAAATCTAGACATTTTCTTGAAGGAACAAACCCAAGCTCATCTTTCATAAATCTTAGCAAATCCATTCCTAGCTGCACTTTGGTTGGCTCTGTCTCTGCGATTGCCCAAAACACCTGATTCAAAACAGCAAATCACTAAGAGGCTTAAAGCACTGAAGGCTAATTCAGTAAAAGAGAAGATAGCTACTAGCTACAGACTCAAGCTTGATCGCTGTTCTAATTAAATGTTCTTGCTTAGTGCTTTACTACAGACTTCTTCATTGAGAGATCCCACAATGATCCAAGAACATGGAATGTGAACGTTGCACATACTCGGAGACATCTCAAGGTTATCTTTGATGACTAAATGAACAAAGTTGCCAGAAAGAAGCCCATGAGAGAAACAAAATCAAACCTCGTCAAAATGAGTTTCCACAGGCAAGTCTTTCTTTAACAACCGGACCTTGTTCTGTTTCAGCAAATCAACAATATTGCTATACAACAAAAAGAGCAAATCAAGAATGAGACATTTTCAACAATTGGGTAAACAAGAACTAATTCTAGGCATGGGTGGTTTACTCTACCTCGACTTTCTATTGCGGACAGCGAACAAGATCATTCTGAAGAAACCATCTATCCAACTAGTATCATCTTGTAGGTCATCAGCCAGTTGAACTAGCGTACTTAACTCTCCATTTGAATCAGAGTATTCCTACAGAGATAATCATTTTACTGAAAATCAACCAATTGATATATGATATTATGAAAAAGTGTGATTGAAAGTGCATACTTACTATAAGAGATATAATCGATTTCGGGTCTACGTGGCATTCAGCTTTCCTCATTTCTTCATATATATGTAAGGCATCTGCCCATTTTCCACGTGATGCAAGAGCCGAAATAAGCACACTTTTCAGTTCATTTTGGTTTATAGCCGGAACATCTGGATCTACGAGCACCTATGGTAGAATAAAAATTTGAGCTCTTACTCTAATTACGGAAATGTATTCCACTTTTTCCACTTTTGCGAACTTACAAGAAAATAAAGAGTATGCGTGCCTACCTGTTTCGCCTTCTCAAACTTCCCAGATGCTGCATATGCATCTATCAGGGACATGTAAATTCGCTTAGTAGCTTGAACTCCTGCTTGCTTCATCTCCTCGTAGTACTTGTAAAGGCACCAAGACATTTTTCACTCAACACATAGAGAAAAAGAGAGAGTAGACATTTTGTAGTGATGTTTACAAGACTCCAAGTTAAGAAGAACAAGTAGACAAAAGATCTAAAGAACAGAAAATTCTGAAATTTACCTTAGTAATAGCGTCCTCCCGGTTACAGTTGTTTATTAGATAACCAAAAGTTATGGAATCAGGTTTAACGCCAGCTTCCTTCATTTGCTTGACGACCATTAACGCCCTACACACATTTTTCTTCAAAAACATACAAAAAAACATCAGCTGAAAACGATTTAAGAGACATTGGGAGCTAACAGAGACATGGACAATCTATCAGGTCAGAATTTGCAAACATGAAATGGGAGCTTAAGATATTACCTCCCTAAAATATCCAGCCAATATACAATTGAACATGCTAGAGTTCGGTTCCAAATTGAAGTTTTTTAAATTACCAAGCATATTATATGCACCTTCAAACTGCACATAAAACCAAAGATTTAGAGCAAAAATTTGTGTTCAGAGAAACAAGCGAAGCAGCAACTGTAAGAAACAGCACCGACATGTCCTCATTTCTAATATATGGTTTGAGGATATAATGAAGCTGAAATTAGAAGAAAGAAAGTTACATCTTTGATTCTTGTGCACAAACGTATAATGCTCCGGAAGTTCTCAGTATTTGGTTTCACACTTTTAGTGCACATAATTGAATGGATTCTTCGCACCTGAAACATATATGAGCAGAGTTCAATTGTATATTTGTCTGGATATAGATTCAAGCTAAATGAGGATGCGTACCAAATCAAACTCAAGAACTTCATCAATGGCATGTAACAATGAATGTAGGATATCTGCGGATATTATCAGACCTGCTTCACCCATTTTTTCAACTATATCAAGAGCAGTGACTACCTACAGCACGGAGAGAATAATCATTAGAGAGAGCACCCAAAATAAAGCCAATTATTATAAAACAAGCATAACAAATACCTCATTCGAGTCACAGCTATACTTAACAAGCTTTTCGTACGATGTAGATGAAGGCATAACATCAAGTTCTTCATGCATCTTGTTAAATTTCAAGATGGTATCCTCAACCTTTAATTGTAGAAAACCAGTAAAACATGGACAAGTAGGAGGCATCCGTTATCGAAGCAAAGACTTAAAACACTAATTTGCGACTAATATTCATGAGAAGTTCTTACCGTCGGATTTGGGGTGCAAGTAGAATAGATAGAGATGAGTTCAGAAACGTTCTTCACTCCTTCATCTGCGCATGTTAATGAAAAACATATTACACATGCTATAACAATGATTTTCTAAAGGCATAAACATGTTACATCAAGAGAATTTCTTGGTTTATGTCAAATGCACCCTTACCACTTTCTCTTAGCTCCCAAAGGAACTTCCCCGCAACAGAATCCAATGAAAACCTCCCAAGGTATTCAAATATGTTTGTCAATAGGTCCGACGATTGAACTTTTGTTATGTCTACAATCCCTAAGAGCCTCTCAAGATGG